AAGGATAGCAAGAGCCTTTTCCTCTAAATAGAAGCTCAGGGGCGGACGCATCTGAGAAAGTAGGAGTAAGTACATAAGTGAAAAAGGTGAGAGAAGAGCACAGAGAGAGAGAAGAAAGAGGAAGCAAACGCAAGGGGACAGCACGTAACACATAATTTCTATAGCATGTTCTTGTTCTTTCTTTATTTGTCCTTTAACAGTATTTTTTATACTGCTTAAAGATTTTCTTTCTGTTTGACTGGATATTAAAATAATATAGAAACATCGTGTCCAGTCGATATGCAACTCATTTTATAACCATTTAAATAGTTAATCTGTTTCTCAATAACATCTTATGCTTATGCTTATCTTGTACAATCTTATGCTTACCTTGTGCTTGTAGATATACTTGGGTTTTTCCAGTAGACAGTTATTGGGATATTCTGGACTTAAAATATTATTCAATGATCTGTATAAAATTTGCAAATTGCAAATTGTGGTAGAACTTAAAGGCTTGCAGTTCTTCAAGTACTTAAATCATAAAATATCTCATTTCGAATTCAGTGATGTTAAAACCATAAAAGAAAAAGCTAAATTGATGTAGCCCTATTCAACATTTCAGAATAATGCTTGTGCTAACATGGTGCCTAATTTTAGGAACTTTAAGTATTTAGCTAACAAGTAATTAGTGTAAAGAGGGTTTAGAGTGGGTGTCTGTGAGTTTGTGTTTTTTTTCTTCAGAATAAAAGAGAACACAACTACAGTAATTATTCCCTGAAATATTAAAGGCAGGGGTATATTTTCAGCACTTTCCTCAGCAGTAATTAGTGGATCGTGTTAATAGTTTTAAGATGTACAAAGGTAACTGTCTCTGCATAAGACAGACAGACTCAGGTGTACATTGAAATTTTGTACCTTTTTATTTGTCCCTTTTTTTCCAAGCTAAACTTTGTCATTAGGAATATCTGATTTTTCAAACTTGGTCCAATCCAGTTAACAAGTAATTGTTGCAAATGGCATAAAAAGCACACTTGAGTCTTATGTTTACTGTTCCATTCAAAGTGGATTTTTCTTTGTGAAGAGTATAGAATAATTTAGAAACCCTCCCACCTTTACTGCAGGTCTCTTTGTGTTCCTCGGCACACTGCTCCTAGCAAATGCTTCTGTCGATGCATCTCGTATCCTGCATTCAAAGCTGCTTAACAACATCCTGCGAGTTCCCATGGTTTTCTTTGACACCACACCTATTGGAAGAGTGGTCAACCGCTTTGCAAAGGTAGCATTTGTATTTCACTTTTTTCACTTTTTAATCATTCCTTTTCTAGATTTCATTATTTTCTTATCCTATGGCTTTTATGTTTACAAGTACAAGATGCAATTATTTTTTAATTTCATTTTTCAAAATTAATAGTGGAAGTGGAATGTTCCCCAGTTCTGCTTAAACC